TATATGTATATATATATATAGATATAGATATAGATATATATAATTATATATGTATATAAACTATACGTAGATTTACATATTTTTAATTTGATTTTTGGCTATTATTTATATTTTTTTCTTTTTTTTAATTTTTTATTTTCTTTTTAATATTTTGCGGTTATTTTTACGTATCCTGCGCACCATTCTCTCTGGTTGTAGTGTTCTAAATTTGTCGCCATTGCTAAATTTGCTCTTTCAGTTGAACTAATTTATTGTCACTGTGTTAATGGCGGCCGCTGCAGTTCGTCCAGTGCAGCAGGTGCAGGTCCGGAAAAGGCCCTCGTAATATTCTCGACCCCTTCCTCGGCTGCAACCTACGTACGCTGCCAAAAAATGGGAAGCTACATTGTGTAATCAGTGCCCGGCATTCCCACCAGCAGTAAGGCGACCGCTGGTAGCAGGAGAAGAGCGACTCTTTTGCTGAATCCGGCCGGATCGACGGAGTTAGCGCCGCTCGTATTGCAGCCGTCTGTGGAGCAACAGAATTCGCATGTCCATTGAGGTTTGTCCTTCTCACATTTGCTCACCCAGCTAAGCACCTTGCTGTTTGCCGCACCTACGTTGCATGGACCTGTTCCGCAGCTCTTCGTAATGGAGTAGCCAGTGTCTTCTGCAAAAAAAGAAGGAAAAAAAACACATTAATTTTCATCAATTATTTATACATCATGAAACTATTTTTTATTCTATTTTATATATTTGTGTATAGCATGCGTCTCAAGCAGCATCTAACGACTAAGTCCATCTCCAGACCGGAAAAGGGGTGAAGCGGACTCCTGGTGCCTCATAACCAGCCGATTTGGATAGATGGATCTCATCAGCCCAGGAAGGCAGTCACTGTCTTGCGATCATATCCAAATACGGAAAATGCTATGGAAATAAATCCACACATAAAATCCGGAGTGAAGCCCCGAATGCCGTAGGCAGTCAACACTAACAACCTTCCGGCAACTCTTACAGCTAAGCCGGCCCAAAATGTAAGGCCCTGTATTGCTTTGTATCTTGTTGATCTGGGCAACACATGGCATCCGTATACCATCACCCAGGCTTGCACCTTGAAGAGAACATTCCAGTCTCACCCCCTGGTGAGAGTACAACGCGGAAGACACCATTTACGAGTTATAAGTCAAAACTCCACTGGCATGGAGTTCGACGCCACGAGTTGTCTTCGACGGTGAGTGAGATTGTATTCCATTGTTCAACTACCACCTGCCTCAAGCCGGGCAACACGTGGACAAGAAAGTGTTGACCCGCCACGGTCTGCCTGTTTCATTGGGGGCCTGAAGCATATAGCTAGTAGCTGGCCAATTAGATCGATAACCAAGCACTAGACAAGCAGCAAAATGGAAAGAAAGCAAGACCGCAGTGATCGATCCTGAGTTAAACAAACTAAACATTGACATAGCAGCTCTACAAGAAACATGACTTCTAGACAATGGGTCTCTAAAGGAAAAAACAGCCCCATCTGGCAAGGGAGGGGAGTCGATGAATTCGCTGTAACACCCTTGTTCGTACGATTTTACCTATAGCAAATGGCACAGGGAGAATTCGCACTCTTCTCCCCTCTATATATGAAGACCTTGTAAAACTTGTGTATATCTATGTACCAACAGTCCAAGCCACGTCCGAAGTCAAAGACCAGTTGGACGCCCTATTTTAAAGCGTTGTCAAGCATATCTCATTGTACTTACATATTTAGCTTCTAGTAGGGAGCAAAGCTGGACGCTGATCATTTGTACTTGCGAAACGTGTTATGTCACTATAGTATAAGGAAAATAAATAAAAATGGCCAAAGACTCCTAGAATTATGACAAACGCCTATGTTCAGAACAACATTTGCCAGAAAGCATCTTGGAGGCATCCAAGTTCAAATCATTGGCATCGCTGGATCTGGTCATCACCCGATAACGTCTCCAGCACCAGAACTTACCACAGCGCAGCCTATGACACTGACCACTCCTTGATCTCCTCAGGGGTAAACGTAAAACCTAAGACTGTTCAAAGAAGAAATGTCTGTTGAGAATTAACTCTAGCAAGACTGCCTATTCAGATAAAAACCAGAGAGGCTAATGGAGACCCTTCCCTGTGACTCACCACTGTGCGTGAAAGATAGATGGAACTCCCTTCGGCACACCATCTACTGCCTATCCAGATAAAAACCAGAGAGGCTAATGGAGACCCTTCACTGTGACTCACCACTGTGCGTGGAAGATAGATGGAACTCCCTTCGGAACACCATCTACAATGCTACAATCTCTACCTATGGAAAGAAGATGCTCAAGAATAAAGACGGGTTTGAGGCTAACATCTCCACGTTAGAGCCGGTCATTTGACATAGAAAACACATCGTCAAAGCAGCAGTAGTGATGGCCAAATTGAGTAAGAGAGTATGGAACAGGCAGACGGTCTTCCGCACGAAACTAAAGGTATTCCAGCCAGGCGTCTTTAGTACACAGTGAAAACTAGACAGTATATATCAGACAGGAAAAATGTCTGAAAAGTCTCCATCTCCTTTGCCTAGAATGTATCCTCGGCATCACATTGAATGACAAAGTTACCAACACTGTTGTACTGGAGCAAGCAGACTCCTGGAGCATGCATCTTCTCCTTTGTCAACGTCGTCTTCGTCCGGCTGGGTCACCTATATCGTATGAATAACGGCAAGCAGGGTGTGTGCTGATCACGTGACACCGTCCGGTAGGGCAACTCAACACTGCTTTTAAAAGAAGTTTGCAAGAGGTGGGGGTCTGCAACGCACAGGGATCGATTATGGTAGTTGGAAACGGATGGGAACGGCTGGCGGACAGTCGCATCCGCGTCCTGGGTAAGACGATAAACTACATCCAGCAGCAAGGCTTCTGATCAGGAGGTTTTGAGGAGCGTGGAACCACCTCTTAATTGCTGGTGTTCCCAGGTCCACCCTGACCCGGAGTGGTAGCACCTGTTAGGATCCCAGCTATGGACAAATAGTTAACCCCCAAAACTGAGGTATAAAGCATTATAAAATATTACCAGCAATACGTTTTTAAAGAAAAAAACTATTACCAGCTATACATTTTCGAGGAAAAAGTATTAACAGAAATAGATTTTTGACAAAACAACAATATTAACAGCAAAAAAAAGTTGCCGGCATTAAGTGACCTATTGATATGCCGTAAAACAAACCAAACCAAACCTCCATTCCACATGCCAGCATCATCTGTCACATTCGCGGAAGAGAGCGTCATGCAAGAATTGTTATGTTAAGCCACTGTAAACGATGCTCGCAAAAGGACAATCTTTGACCAAAAAGGGCGCTACCTTTATTTCGCGAGATAAGCGAATGCCTACTACTGCTACCACTACTACTATTAATATTGCTACTTAAAAGATGATCGATATATCTATTTCTGTTTATATCTATTTATAAATCTAATTGAATGACAAAACGGAAAATATCCTATATATATATATATATATATATATATATATATATATATATATATATATATATTTTTGTCTTTTGTATCTGTCTTGTAAGTTGTTTTGTAATGTTTTGTTTTTATTCAGATCACTGCCGATAGGCACACCCTACACATGAAAATTATTACCCCACTGCCCGTGATGTTTTGAGAAATGCTCTTGACCCTAATAACTTTTTTCTTTCTCAAACCTACGGCATTCGATATATCAAAATAAAGTACAGAAGGCCGACTTACATCCTTTCTATATCTTTGAACCTGACATGAGCTTCTGTTCTCAGACAGTTGATGTCATTCTTGCCAAATGTTACTGGTCTTAATGTTTTTGCCGATCAGTGTAAATTTCAGACGATATATCGAAAACAAAATTCTCACACCAGTTCGTTAATTACTACCTCGTGATGCCTGCCAGACAGATAAAACTAGTTCAGTGGCCAGTAGACCGTTAGATATGCTGATTGGCAAGTAACGAGAATTCATTCATATTGGGATATGCTGAGTCGAGCGATTGAAACGATGATCGTGACAACGAGATGGCAAACGAACGATCTATGCTAGAATTTGCTTGTGAGGGGTGAAATCATTTGAAGCGGTAAAGAGACTCAAATACTAGAGAAACAGAGGGATAGGTCTGCAAAGACACGCAGTCTGAGACGGATGGTGAGAAAGCGCTTGTCTGAAATATGAATAGCTTGAGATAGATAGATAGATAGATAGATAGATAGATAGATAGATAGATAGATAGATAGATTCATACTAAAACAGATAGATAGATAGATGATAGATAGATAGATAGATAGATAGATAGATAGATAGAATCAGACTGAAACAGATAGAGAGATAGATAGACAGAAAGAAAGAAAGAAAGAATCAGACTGAAATAGATAGATAGATAGATAGATAGATAGATAGATCATTCGTCCATGCATTGAATACTGCTATCAGGTCTATTCTGGTGTTCCTACTACTTATCTCGAAATTCTTGGCTAAATTCAAAGAAGGGGTCTGTAATTTAATCTATCCTGACCTGGCATCTTGAATTTAGTCACATTATCACCGACATGACATGGCTTCTATAAAATAATTTCATGGCAATTGTTCTCGTGGGCTATTATCCTCATTCGCTTGTTGGCATGAATTTAAGCTTGCTACTAGATTGACAATAAAGTCTCACCATTTTACTGTTGAAATAATTACATGCAACCATATGTTCTTTACTAATAGTTTATTTCACCGCACTTCTCATCTGTGGAACTCCCTTTCAATGGATTGCTTCCCTGACATATACAATCTTCAAAAATTTAAATGCAACGGCAATCGTCATATTCTGTTTTTCTGAATCTTGTTCGTTAATTGTCCTTTTTTTCTCACATATACTCATTCTCTTTCATGTTCTACATCATCCTGCGCCCTAATGGCATTAACGCCTTGATTGCGGTGAAATTATAAAACATATTTATATTTTGGCCAGTTAAATCTCTATTTTAATCCCCAAATCTACTTTTAAATAAAAGAAAGAAAGAAAATGGAAAGGAGATGGTGAATATAATAAGAAAGAAAGAAAGAAAGAAAGAAAGAAAGAAAGAAAGAAAGAAAGAGGGGTAGGTAGCCATATAGCTAGAGGAAAGAGGGCTTGGAAAACTCATAGGACTTATTGAAGACAAGATGGTTTAGTTTGTTTTGTTTTACGGTACGTCACCCTCAGTGGGCAATTTAATGCCGACATTTTTATTGCTGATAATATTTTTTGCCAAAAATGTATTGCTGGTAATAATGTATATCTGGCAATAATTTTTTCTTCAAAAATTCATTGCTGCTAATTATTGTTTTACAAAAATATATTTCTGGTACTAAAACCTATTTTTACACTTTCATGGTGTTTTGACCTCAATTTAGGGGTTAATTATTTGCTCATAGCTGGGACCCTAACTGGTGCTCCCATGCTGGGTTACGGTGGACCTGGGAGCACCATAAATTAAGAGGCGGTTCCACGCTCATCAAAAACTCCTAATCAGAGGCCTTGCTGTCGGATGCAGTTTAACGTCTTACCCGGGACGCGAATGTAGTCTATCGTTTTACCCAGGACGTGGTTGTAGTTTATCGTCATACCCAGGGCGCAGATTTAGTTTATCGTCTTACCCAGAACCCGAACGTAGTTTATCGTCTTAACCAGGAACCGAATGTAGTTTATCGTCTTACACGGGACGATGATGTAGTTTATCGTCTTACCCAGGACGCGAACGTAGTTTAACGTCTTACCCAGGACGCGGATGTAGTTTATCGTCTTACCCTGGACGCGGATGTAGTTTATTGTCTCACCCAGGACCCGAATGCAGTTTATCGTTTTACCAAGGACGCATATGTAGTTTATAGTCTTACCCTGGACGGGGATGTAGTTTATCGTCTTACCCAGGACTCAGATGTAGTTTATCGTCTTACACGGGACGCGGATGTAGTTTATCGTCTTACCCAGGACACGAACGTAGTTTATCGTCTTACCCAGGACGTGGATGTAGTTTATCGTCTTACACGGGACGCGAATGTAGTTTGTCGTCTTACCCAGGACTCGGATGTAGTTTATCGTCTTACCTAGGGTGCGGATGTAGTTTATTGTCTTACCTCGGACGTGGATGTAGTTTATCGTCTTACACGGGACGTGGATGTAGTTTATCGTCTTACCCAGGACGGGAAAGCAAGATGGGTAAATAGACATATAGCTAGAGAGATACATACCGAGAGGATACAAAAGGATTCTCGTCGCGAGCCACTTTCCAAATTTTGACCAGAGTTTCTTGATCGCAACGAAAACTTTTATATAGCATTCATTACGATCAATGCATTTGTCCCATATATAACGCTGGCGTCAACGCTTGAATTTCCTTTATGTCCACCGGATCTATATCTACTTCCCGTCTCTTCTCTGTTTACTTGAATATTAAATAATTAAAATTATTCCAGTGTATGTCAGCTGTCCACTGTCCAGTTCCAACGAAAGTAAACCGTCTTGATATGGCGAGATTTCAAGCGGTCAATAATCGGCAGGATTTCTCTTCTTGGGACGATTGCAAGACTTGATCAGTCCGATGGAATAAATAATATGTCTCAGCAGCTAGATGTATGTTCGATTAAGAGTCTATTTTGAGGCCTCCAATCCGACGTCTAAGGCAATCGCTCTGTCGTTCGCAGACTAACATAATTACTATTTTCCTTCTCTTCAACTGATGTGGAAATTGAAGCTTTTGGGTGGCGAAACTAATCACTGCAGAGGAGGAGGAGGAGGAGGCCCCACTGGGAACTTATTATCTGTGATTCCTTGGCTCCTTCACATTGTATATTTAAATACAATACACGTACAAAACACGCAGAAATATACCACACACTGTAACACAAACATGCACACACACACACACACACACACACAAGTAGATAGATAGATAGATAGATAGATAGATAGATAGATAGATAGATTCAGACTAAAATAGATAGATAGATAGATAGATAGATAGATAAACCGTGTCTCAAGTTATTTAGCAAATCATATGAACTTCAATAATTTTAATTTGGTTTGAAAAAATTATCAAATATTAAACACTTAATTTAGATGTTAAAACAAAGCCTGGGTTAAAAGTATAGGTAGTATCAATGTTTTATTCAAGTTATTGAAGTTATTTGATGTATTTAAAAAAAAACTGCTGTCTGAAATTATTAGGCAAAACCAAATAAACACATTTTACTTTAATAAAAAGATAATAAAATCATAAAAAGTTGACCAACACCTATAATAGAACAAATAACAATCACATATGATAAGTCTATAAATCCTTTACATTTTAATATAGGGACCCTTCTTCTCAAAAACATCCAGTAATCTATTATCCATTAATTTTGTTATTTTTTTTTTTACTTCAGCAGATTCAATTTCCGATGTGATAGTTTTAATTGCTTTCCAGAGGTCTGCTTTACTGTTATATTGTTTGTTGCCTTCATATAATTTCATCTTCACAATTGACCATAGATTTTCGATCGGATTCAGATAAGGGCTTGATGATGGCCATTCTATTAACTTCCGTCCTGTAAATATTTCATGTACAAAGAATTTACGGATAAGCTTAGATCCATGAGAAGGAGCATTTTCGTGCATAAATACACCCTTTACTATGAAGCTGCGAGACTGGGAATTGTACCATGCAAAGAAAGTCTCGTTCATAAAATCACAATAGTTAACACTGTTCAGTTTAACTCCTTCATCAACTTTTAATGATCCAATAATGGTTTGCTCGACAATTACAGTCCATATCATAACGCGACCACCTCCTTGTTGCTTTCTTTTAGCCACAGACACGTTTGAATTTGATAAAATTCATCCTTTGGCCCATCCAACACGTCCGTCAAATGTCAAGATTTGTTCGTGAATATTACCTTTGAAAATTCAATTTTCATGTATTTCTTGACCCAGTTTTGATGTTTTAAAATATTTGCTTTAATGAGAGTAGCTTCCCTAGGAGATTTTTTTATATATAAATCCCACTTCACAAAGTATTCTGCACCTTTTGACCTTCTTGACTGCTTCGATTCCAGTCTTTTCAAGGATCTGAGTGCTTATCAAAAGTGATTTTTTTTTTTGCTATAACTCGCTTTATTTTATGTTCATCTCGAGAAAGCAATTTCTTCAATCCTTTTCCTTTGTTTTCAGTTCTAACTTATATTTTCAACAGACTCTTTTATCGTTCAATGATCTCTGCAAATTTCCTTTAATATCTCCAATGTGCACATTCCCACCCACAATAACTTTGTTATTTTGTTTTTCAGCAGCTGTTAAATCCTTCCCTTTACCCATGATTCAACATAAATTGTAGACAAAAAGAAAAAAATAGTTTTATTAGATTTCAGAGGTCTTAAGCCAATATCTGCACACTAACTTCAGTGTGTTCATTTTAGTAAATTCCAAATATCTAAAAAAACTAACGATTTAAAATGACAGAAAATGTACTGAAATATTTTGCATAGGGTGAGAATAGATGGGTTTAAATTTGAGAAATATTGCTACAGGATTTTTTTAATTATTGAGGTTTACTTGATTTGCATAACTTCAGAGAGGAGTTAGATAGATAGATAGATAGATAGATAGATAGATAGATAGATAGATAGATAGATAGATAGATATGAACTGACTGAGATAGATAGATAGATAGATAGATAGATAGATAGATAGATAGATGGATAAAAACTGACTGAGATAGATAGATAGATAGATAGATAGATAGATAGATAGATAGATAGAAATAGACTGAGAAAGAAAAGAAAAAAAGAAAGAAAAAGAATAGGACTGAGATAGATAGATAGATAGATAGATAGATAGATAGAAACGGACTGAGAAAGAAAGAAAGAAAGAAAGAAAGAAAGAAAGAATAGGACTGAGATAGATAGATAGATAGATAGATAGATAGATAGATAGATAGATAGATATGAACTGACTGAGATAGATAGATAGATAGATAGATATGAACTGACAGATAGATAGATAGATAGATAGATAGATAGATAGATAGATAGATAGATAGATAGATAGAAACGGACGGAGAAAGAAAGAAAGAAAGAAAGAAAGAAAGAAAGAAAGAATAGGACTGAGATAGATAGATAGATAGATAGATAGATATGAACTGACTGAGATAGATAGATAGATATGAACTGACAGATAGATAGATAGTTAGATAGATAGATAGATAGATAAAAACAGACTGAGATAGATAAAAACAGACTGAGATAGAGATAGATAGATAGATAGATAGATAGATAGATATGAACTGACTGAGATAGATAGATAGATATGAACTGACAGATAGATAGATAGATAGATAGATAGATAAAAACAGACTGAGATAGATAAAAACAGACTGAGATAGATAGATAGATAGATAGATAGATAGATAGATAGAAACGGACTGAGAAAGAAATAAAGAAAGAAAGAAAGAAAGAAAGAATAGGACTGAGATAGATAGATAGATAGATAGATAGATAGATAGATAGATAGATAGATATGAACTGACTGAGATAGATAGATAGATATGAACTGACAGATAGATAGATAGATAGATAGATAGATAAAAACAGACTGAGATAGATAAAAACAGACTGAGATAGATAGATAGATAGATAGATAGATAGATAGATAGATAGATAGATAGAAACGGACTGAGAAAGAAATAAAGAAAGAAAGAAAGAAAGAATAGGACTGAGATAGATAGATAGATAGATAGATAGATAGATAGATAGATAGATAGATATGAACTGACTGAGATAGATAGATAGATATGAACTGACATAGATAGATAGATAGATAGATAGATAGATAGATAGATAGATAAAAACAGACTGAGATAGATAAAAACAGACTGAGATAGATAGATAGATAGATAGATAGATAGATAGAAACGGACTGAGAAAGAAAGAAAGAAAGAAAGAAAGAAAGAATAGGACTGAGATAGATAGATAGATAGATATGAACTGACTGAGATAGATAGATAGATAGATAGATATGAACTGACAGATAGATAGATAGATAGATAGATAGATAGATAGATAGATAGATATGAACTGACTGAGATAGATAGATAGATATGAACTGACAGATAGATAGATAGATAGATAGATAGATAGATAGATAGATAGATAGATAGATGAACAGACTTAGATAGATCTAGTGAGGCATGGGTGAGTGGTTAAAAATTCTAGCCTACCGGCTAGAGTGGGTATGTGGCTTCTTTACAATTATCTGACTCTGACGACGACTCCAGTATCTGGCACCATGTGAAAATGGCTAAAAAAAAAGTACGACTGGTTGGCCCAAGCCTTGTGGAGGAAATTCTGTCGACGAAACTCTTCGTAAAGCGTCGATGGTTATGCTAGCGGGAACTTACAAGTCATCGTGACCGAGCATCTGAGTGCACTGGCCTTGTTCAGAATGCTGGTCACGATGTTAAGCACACTCTTCTCTTAGGTTGGTGCAAAAATAATGACGTAATAATGTTGTTTTTGGACGTATTTTTTAACGTCAAAAAACGACATCATTACGTCATTATTTTTGCACCAACGTAATAGTAAACTGTAACTAAGACCTTCCCAGTATAGTGTTTGTATAAACCACAGGAGGGCCGTGTTGAAGAAGCCCTCACGTACCTGTTTAGTTAAATAACCTAAGAGTATTCGGATACGAGCGGACAACTAAACCAGACAACATGGTTATGTTTCTTTTCTTGTTAGCTTTGTTAGGCTAAATCAGACCCTCCTTTTTCTATATGTCCAGTCACTTCGAGGCGTGGTTATTCGGGGTTCATCATTATTTTCAATTACTTGTAGTTTTTAGTAATGTTTTGATTTTTACTATCTCTCCTACTCCCTGATTTGCCATCCACTTACACAAGTTTCATATTCATAGATAGGTTACTCTTTGCTTTTCCCCTCTGAATCTCTTGCCTTCAGTATCTCCTGTGAGTATCAAACTCTGCAAGCCCCCTTTCCTCATCATGTGTTTCAGACATTTTCAATTGTATCTTTCTGATTCTATGTACAGCGTGGGATTGTCGCCATTATATATTTTTAATTTCTTGCATTGTTTGTTTTTGATTTTTTTTTTTACTGCACAGCGTAGTAGGGTCAATTGGGCACCGCCGCAATTTACACTGTCAGAATGTTCAAAACAGAATGCTGTACGGCTTGATATTCGCGCCGAAAGCTCTAATACAACTATTTCGGAGTGATTGGGTGCAAATCTGAGGACAGTGCAGAGGATTCAGAAAGTGTTGGATGATAAATCCTGTCAACATCATGGTGTTTAGAGTGATCACTAGTGATGGTGATGTTATGCCTCCATTCATCTTCCCACAGGGCATCAGACACAACACATCAAGTGTCATGAGAAGGTAGGTGCTGCTCTTGGTCAAGAGGGTGGCTACTGAAATACTCTATGTCTGGCAAAAGGACCTTGCACCATGCAACCCAAGTCAGAGAAGCCAGTTATAGCTGTCAGATAATTTCTGCGGCCACATCAACCCTTAGATCTGGCCACCTCACTCCATAGACTGCGACCCCCTTGATTATTATTTGTGGGGAGCAGCTGAGCGAAAGAACAACAAAACTCGTTATAACACCACATTGAACCGAGAGCAAGGATTATGGCAGAATTAACCAACTTAAACAAGGAGGCCGTCCAGAAGAGATGCAGGAGATTCTGAAGGCGTCTGTAGGCTGTGGCTCAATGTACTGAAAGAGTTCCATGTAAAACGCGTGGTATGCCATGGAGACGCACAAGTTCACTCTTTGTTCAATTAACGCTGTTTTATTTTTAGGTTCCTAGAAACTGAATTGCTACGCAAGGTCGACGGGATGCGTTGGTAGTGCCTTGGCGATGACAACAGTAGTCAAATGGTGACTCTTGTACAATTAGACCAGGTTCAGGACGGCAATGCATTATAGACGCTTACCGGAATCGATCGATTGTACGGTAAACAGGAAGACCGCAGAGTGCGGAGAGCACAGATCAGTGCAAATGTGATCCCCTGTAATTTTAACCTAAATCGTCACCTATGGAAGGATTGGGGTCCACTATATATACTTTCAGTATATTCTCGGCCCACGTTTATGTTATCATCGAATTTTTATGTATTTATTCGCATTAACCCAACGCGGGATATCATGATTTATAAATTCTTCCTTCATTACGATTTTTTTACATAAGAATCTCGTATGTATATCTATATATCACACTCTTTCTCCATCTCTCTCTCTCTCTCTCTCTCTCTCTCTCTCTCTCTTTATATATATATATATATATATATATATATATATATATTCGTGTGATGTGGACGGAATATGCGTGTTTTTCTCATAAAGTAAGAGAAAATAGAATTTGATTTTGAATTTCTTTCATCCACAATTATGATTTAGAAAGTTCTAAAAGAAATCACTGAGCTTCCGCATGAATAAAATCGGGCTGCCTTCAGAGCATCAATTCTTTAAGCTTCGGTGCATTGCAAAGTAAATCTGTTAGACAAGATTATTTTCAATCTTACTACCTTTATGATCACTCTCATTAAATCTAGAATTGTATGTGATGTTAGCCGGCAGATAAATGATCAAAGATGAAAAATATGAAAAGGGAGAAAGAGAGTGTGTGTGTGTGTGAGAGAGAGAGAGAGAGAGAGAGAGAGAGAGAAAATTTGATGAAAGAAAGAAAGAAGGACGGAATGGTTTTCGGCATAATTACGAAAAACAAAAGCAAATAAAAGAAAGAAAGAAAGAAAGAAAGAAAGAAAGAAAGAAAGAAAGAAAGAAAGAAAGAAAGAAAGAAAGAAAGAAAAACAAAGAAGGAAAGAAGAAAGGAACTATTTTCGACAAAATGATGAAAAACAAAAGAAAATATAAGCTGATAAAAGAAAGAAAGAAAGAAAGAAAGAAAGAAATTGTTAGGAAAAATGAGACAGTAAACATTTGGAAATAATAAGTAAAAATTTATAAATAAAAGGATTGGTAAAAAGAGAATGACAGATGATAAAAAGTTTTAAAAAGTGATCACGATCTAGAAAGAAAGAAAGAAAGAAAGAAAGAAAGAAAGAAAGAAAGAAAGAAAGAGAGAAAAATCGGAATAATGAAAGGCAAAAAAATAGCAAAAGAGATAAAAATGAAAAAGAAAGAAATAAAAAAAGGAGAGAGGAAAGGAAAGCAAAAATATTAAATACTCTCAATATACATGAATTTGATCCCACACCCTAAACTGCTTACAGAATTGTTATGATAAATCAAAAAGTATAAAATCACATGAAGGAATTACGTTCCTGTCTGAAATATTAAATATTTTTCTTCTAGATTATTTTGAAATAGATTAGGAACACTAAACTTCTAAAGTCCAAATCTGTTTTTTTTTTTTTTTTTTTTTTTAAATCTTTTAAATCATTTTCATTTAAAAATTGATCGTAGCATTTGTGAAACGAATCTTTCGGTCAATTCAAAAGTCCCCAGCAATATCTTTGATGCCATGTTTGAACAGTGTTTGAAATGTCTTTAAGGACTTGTCTCATTTTTATTGCTTGTATAATCACTGAACCTTCGTAGGCCGTAGGAAGAATCCAGGTTATTGGAAAAGGCGCTCAATATGAATCTTTAGAAATGAGCGTCGTTCAGCGTTCAAACATGTGTCAAATTCTCCAAAGCCTATTCTACTTGCTACTGAAATCGCAGCTGCATCACCAAGCGTGCTGTGTTGGTGAACTGATGCTCTACAGGGGACCTACAAGTTCAATAACATAATCTTTGTAAATATGGCAAAAATTGCGATACACTTGTGTTTTAATTACTTGTAATGCAATATAATTCTAGTATAATTTCTTGGAAAGCGATTTATATTTTTGGCAAAACTTTGATTTTTGCCCGCAAAACTTTGCACTCGTAACCCCCCCCCAAAAAAAAACGGAGTGTCAAAAAGACGGTTTTCCCTTAACACCGCTATTATTTTAACTACCTTCACTCCTCAACAATGTTTATTGTTTTAAAAAGCGACGATTAAAATTGTAATAAAACCGAACCATATGAAAATGAATTTATGTAATTCTTTTATTCTTGAGAATAGAAAACGAAAATAATAAATACTATTTATTAATTAGATTCTTTATTTACACTATTTATTTAATTTTTTTTTATTGTAATGGTTTTGCAAAACATCGGTTAATTGCCATTCGATTCGAACTTTACAAAATGGTAAATAATAACCTCATAGTTCTTTCACATATTTAAATAATTCATAAATGTTTATTAATTTATGAATAAAACTGTTTTCATATTTATTTCGTTATAAATTGGTAAATGATAAATAATGCATTGCATCAGTATTAATACAATTGCATTAATTTTTAGAATGTTATAGATATAAAATTATTCTTGTAGACAATCTAATAAATAGTGTTTAATATTTTTGTCGTAAATTCTCAAGACCAAAAAAGTATATAAATTCACTGTCATCGTATATTTAGTTTTGGTTTGGTTTATTTTGTTTTACGGCATATCAACCTCAATGGGTTTATTTAATGCAGACAAAATTGTTAATGCTGGTAATATGTTTTTCTTCAAAAATCTATTTCTGGGAATATTTTTCCTTGAAGAACTCTATAGCTGGTCATATTATTTTCAAAGAATGTATAACTGTTTCTATTGCTGGTATTTTTAAAAAGTATTGCTGATAATAACTTTTCCTTCAAAAACTATTTCTGGTAATATTTATTTTTTTTTATTACAAAGTTTTTTTCTGCTCTTAAAACCTATTTTTACACAAGTTTGGGTGCGATGCTACTACCCCGGTCAGGGTGGACCTGGGGACACCAGCAATTAAAAGGTGGTTCCATGCTCCTCAAAACCTCCTGATCAGAGGCCTTGCTGTTGGACGTAATTTATCATCTTACTCAAGACGGGGATGTCATTTATCGTCATACCCAGGACGAGTATATTTAGGTTTAAAATTCTAATCATTTTTAAATCTTTTTAAAACAATAAACATTGCCGAGGACTGAAGGTAGTTATAATAATAGCGGTGTCAAGGGAAAAACATCCATTTTCACACTCTTTTCGCGAGCAGGAAGATCCAAGGTTGCCAAATACTAGAATCTGGGCAGACTATACAAAAATGCAATGAGTAATTGGCTTGTTTGAATGACGCTTGGCTATGAAATATCGTATTAAATAAATAGTATTTAATATATTTGTGGTAATTTCCCATCTTTAAGACTAACGTGTTTATCTAAGAAGCTTAATTTTATCTGACACAATGCCTTAAAAAGAGAGAATCATTAGGGAAAGAATTAACATCTCTTACAAAGTGGCATACGAAATTCGCTTGCTGATCGTCGCGGTAAGAGAAGCAAGGATTTACACTTTTACTATGCTTATCTTAAGGTGGTCTAAAACTACCGTATTGGTCGACCCAGGAAGGATCGAACTCACTATACTTGCCAGCTTGCTAACGATTGTGCTATATCAAATAACTAATTTAGTTTTTGCTTTAACACTTGACCATAGCTGTCGAAAATCCTATGAGGATCGAATCCATCCTCTGTATCTGCCTATATCTCTGAAATGAGGTATTATGATTATTACATTATTATGATTATTACATTATTATTATTTACATTATTCGGACTGTTATCCTCATCTCCATTGCCATATTCACAACGTTTCTGCCTTTTCAGGAGATAAAGGGTTCGGTAAGAAATTCCAATCACCTTAAGAAGGCCGGGGCGTACAACAGTCGAAACGTTGTAAATATGGCATAATGTAATAATATATATATATATATATATATATATATATATATATATATATATATATGTGTGTGTGTGTGTGTGTGTGTGTGTGTGTGTGTGTGTGTGTGTGTGTGTGTGTGTGTGAGAGAGAGAGATGGAGTGAGAGAAAAAAGAGAGAGAGGGGGAGAGAGAGAGAGTAAGATAATGACGGGTTTGGTAATCCGTGTGGATAATTCCAAAGATGATATAATCCAGAGAGCTCAATGTAGCAACAGAGCAAATATTAATTAAATAATTAAGAAATAGACAACCATATATATATATGAGTGGCTCTTGGGCCATGTAATTCTATTTGATCCAATAAGTATTTATGTCAAGTCACAGGCCAAGTTTTATCTTTCTTACATAACCTTATGATATGCACTTCTTGCCTCTACCTATTTTAAGCCCTTATTTGGTGATCATCTACAACAAGGTGTCTCATCCTTTTTGGCGACTACATTCACTTTCACATGAAAATATTATCTGACGACCGCCTGTATAATAAATATTAAAAAGCATGCCAAAATGGTTTGTTAAAATTTTGTTACTGGTTCGTAAACGAACTTTATGATATAGCAAAAAATATACTAAAAACTGGTAACGAATAACGCTGACACTCGGCGGTTGTTGCTGCCGTATTAAATAGCAAACGAAAGAAAATTGAAAAATATATCGAAAACATCAAAATACTCATTACGGGTATATTTATATCTTATCTGGGAATATAGTCTAATTATTCTCATTTTTCCTCCTCTATTTTTTTAATACAGTTCCTTAGTATATCTTCTTTAAATATTTTTAGGACAGCATATATCGAAATACCTTTTCAATACTCAAAATCTTATATCGCTATCTAAAATTCCCAATCAAGTTTCAGTTCAGTTGCTCATCGTCCACCCAACAGTTGAAATCGCCGAAGGTTAGACGATATTGATCAGGTTGGGAAACATCGCTTTACAATGAGTAGGTTTGGGGCTTTGGAATTTCATTTGATCCTATAAGTATTTTTATCAGATTTAAGCGGTCTATATGAAAGCGTTTTGCCCTGTATCGCAAACAGATAATTCCAGGTTGCTTTAAAGAAAGAAGCAACTTTATAAAACAAAAGGTAAAAGATTTATTACTTACGGCTATAGTATGTCTTGATTTCGCAAACGTCTTGCGAAGGTGACACATCTCGGGGACATTCTTTCAGATTCTTCGGTTGGTTACATTCTTCGTTTGTTTTGGCATTTTCGCACACATAGCATCGAATGCCATTTGCTGTAAAAAGAAAAGAAAGAAAGAAATAGGAAAGGACAAATCACAAAAGGTAAATTCATTTCAAGGGAGATAAATCAATGTCAAAAAATATGACATCATTCATCAGTCTCTTAAATTGCACCTTAGACATAGTGATTAAAAAAATAGAGCCCGCGTTCTGTTTTTACGGCTGTCAAATTTATTGTTCCCGCGCCATTTGTATTTCAGTGGACAAGAAGGTAGAAATCAATGAAAGACATTTTTAACTAACAATTCGCGAAGAGAAAATTATTAACTGTGACAAGTTGATTAAGTTGATTACTTACTGTGCCAAGTTGATTAACTTAGAACGTTACAAATTTTTTTCCCTCCATAAATGAACATTATTTTAATCATTTCACCCCAAGCAAGAAAATAAAGCCACCATCATTTTACATTTGAAATGGCTAGATGTAACCGTAAGTTCTATGCTAACAGTTTCTTCTTTCGCACTTCTCACTTGTGGAATGCTTTTCTGTCCTCTTACTTCCCTGTCAACTTTGAACTGAGTTTATATTCATAAAGTGTAGGTAACATAGAGGAAAGTAGTATTTATTTTGAAAAATGTAAATTATATGAAACAAGGCCAAAAGAAGGGATAAGGGAAGGCTGGTCTTCAGCCTGTCTTATCTTAAACTCAGCAGGCCACGATTACTGACCCAAATATGCCACAGTATTCCTTACACCAAAACGATACAGTCTTACTTACCAATCTTACTACAGTCACCATAATACCTCAGAGTCTCTATGTAGTCCTAACTAGTTCCCGTGTGTACAATTTGTCTGGGGAGGGGAATAAAAATAACAGCATTTAAAAAATAACAACATTTAAAAAAATAACAACATTTAAAAACATATAGAAGAAATTCGTCAGAACTG